GCGCCTGGATGTCAGTCACTCTGCTGGGGGTGGAGCCTGGGGCAGGATCACTGGGCTATGAGCAGGTTCTGGAGGTGCAGAGAACTTGGAGGAGCCACCACAGGTCAAGTGAGTAGTCCCGTGGGGCCAGCTGGGGTGTGGGTGTGGTGTAGACATCACAACCCTCCTGTAACCCTTCCTTTTGCACCTGGTACTCCATCCCACACAGGAGCTGCAGACAGGAGGGTGTCTGATGCAGTTCTCTGTGCAAACTCAATGTGAAGCCAGGCCTCCTGGGCTCCTGGGCTCCTGGTGCCTTGAGGATGATGGAACAGGGAGGAGGGAACCTAGGACCAGGAGTCAGTGACCCCGATTCAGACCCCAGCTCTGCCACTCGCTGCCCAAATCCTGTGCAGTTCTGTGCTGACTCACCTCTCTCAGCCTCAGTTTCCATCCCTGACAGGTGAGAATAATACCTGGTCACACAGAGGATTAGAAGATTATGTCCAACGTGCCAGGCTGGCAGAAGATGCTTAATCAGTGTTTCCTCTACAGCATATTCTTATGGATGGCAGAGGCTGGGGCAAATGTGAATCAGCAGAAATGAAGCACTTTAGGCCAGTGGTATTTTGATATGGTCTTTTGGGACTTGGAAAGTAGATCTTTCAGGAACACTCAGGGCAAGCCTGCTGAGACCCCGGCCCCACGGTTTCCCTCATCCTCACAGCAGGGACCCATAGTCTCCACTGCTCCTTCTTCAGCTCGGGGCACAACCTGGACTCTTTCAGAGGGATTTAAGGAGCCCTAAACCAGCAGCTCTCAATATTGGAACAACCTGAGTCTGGTGGGTCACCAATGTCCAGGCCTACCCTCTGGTTAGATTCTGATCTAACTGGCCTGGGTGCAGCCTGGCAGCAGCAGATTCAAAAACCCCTGGGCCATTCTCATGTGCAGTAGAGTTGAGCACCCTTGCCTCAAACCACAGTCTCAGTTGCTGGGAATCACAGCCACTTGGTGTGAGCCCAATCCTCCCTGAGTGTGGTGTGGATGAGGGGGATGGGTCCCTGCTCCCAAGCAAGCCTGTTCTCTGTGTCCCTTGTGACTGGACCCTCAGTCACACTCTGACAGCTCTAGTCCAGAGCCCCTGTCACCAGTGGCCCTGTCTTCTGCTCCACCTGTCACCTGGATGTTACTGTCTCTTGCTACCAAACTCATCTGTCCCTACTAGCCACTCACCTGGCTGGGCCCTGCTGATAAAGGGGCCCTTACCTCCTTCCTTGAGAGGCTGCCAAGTGGCTAAGACTGTGGTGGTTATCTGTGAAGCAGCACTGGCTACTGGGGCTCTTTTTAAGGAGAGAGGACACTTTAGGAGGTGGAAATGTTTCCGGTGGAAATAAATTTCCCCTTTATAATGGCGACCCTTGCATGACCCCTCTTGGTATCCACAGGTTCAAGCACAGAGCCTGGCTTGGGGTTAGAACCCATGGGGACCACTCAGGGCAAGCCTGCTGAGCCCCCAACCCGAGGGTCCCCCTCATCCTCACAGCGGGGACCTGCAGCCTCCACTGCTCCTTCTCAAGCACAGGGTACAACCTGGACATTCATGAATGAGTGAATGAATGAATGGGGAGTTGGGATTCCATGTTGGGTTCCCAGCCTCTGAACTTTTTTGAATTCTCGGATGTCTGACTTGCCACTTCATTACTGTGGTTGATGTGTATCTCAAACCTGCACACCACTCCAGGTTCCTACTTCTGCAACTGCTCAGATCCAGTCCTGGGCTGGTGCCTGCATTCCACTGTATTGACATTGCTTTTCAAGGCAGACTCATGGTCACAGGGTGACCCTCAAGGCTTTCCTTAACTGCCCCAGCCTGGGAGGGTAAGGGTGAGTGTGGGGGGTGATTGCAAGGAGAATGGAAACCAACAAGAGACAGTCCCTGGGGCCCCCTAGCTCCTCAGGACTTACCCTGCATCCCACGGAGGCTCACGGCCTCTCACCACAGCTGCTGGTGGTGGGCAGCTCTTGGGCAGCCCTAGTCAGAGCTGGCAGCTGTGGCCAAGTCTTTGTTGGAATTCTCTGTGCCCTCGTCCTGGGGTTTCCCCTGTAGCCGTTGCCCTGCTGGGATCTCATGCAGCTCAACTCACACATCCAGAGTTAGGTTGTCTGAGCTGTCCCCTCTTGGGACAGGTGTCCTGAGATTTGGCTTCATGGGGCAAACACTGGCACTGCCAGGGCAGTAAACAAAAGCTCCCATTCCTGCCAAGCCTAACCTAGGAGTTCTGAGCCTGATTTCTCTCTGATTTTCTAGGCAAATTCACTGCTTCCTTGGAACCCAGCTCATCCCTTTGTTTCTTCTGAGCTCCTTGGGTCACCTGTCAATCTCCTTCTCTCTGGAGACCTCATGCAAACAGGACTCTCTTCCTAAGGGCCCTAAGGAGTTTGTTTCTTTCCCTGAACTGCCCCAGTCCACAGTTCTGGAGATGATGTGTCAAAAACCAACAGGCAGATCCCTAGAGAAATGGAGGCAATCATCTTTAATTTTCAATCACAGCCACTGAAACTTATGATGCAGTTAGCATTCTTGTCTTTCTCCAGGCTGCATCCTGCATATCCTGCTTTGGGAAGAACAAAATCACTCCAAGGACACTGGGAAGACACATGAGCTGCCCCTTCTCATTCTGTATGACAACCACCCCACCTGTCTGCTTAATTTGAAGGGATCTAGTTCTTAGGGGAAATAAAGTAAACAGTATCCAAACTGACACTTACTCTGAAAAAGATTCTTTGTTCAGTTGGCTCCACCCTAAGGAAAGGCTGAGATTTATGCTACAGGCCTAAGAAGTGAGCTTATAAAAGGTCAGAAAAGAGGCCAGGTGCAGTGGCTCATGCCTGTAATCCTGGCACTTTGGGAGGCCGAGGCAGGCAGATCACTCGAAGTCAGGAGTTTGAGACCAGCCTGGCCAACACGATGAAACCCCGTCTCTACTGAAAATACAAAACTTAGCTGGGCATGGTCTATCGTGTCTGTAATCCCAGCTACTAGGGAAGCTGAGGCAGAAGAATTGCTTGAACCCGGGAGACGGAGGTTGCAGCGAGTTGAGATTGTGCCACTGCACTCAAGCCTGGGCAACAGAGCAAGAGTCTGTCTCAAAAAAAAAAAAAAAAAAGTGAGACTTTAGATGTTAGCACCTGTTTACCTTTGACATTTTGCCTCAGAACTGAGCCTTTGGATCTAGGGAAAACCTGGGACCCACCTTTCTTCACCCCACCTCTACCCACCCCACCATACACCTGTGCCAAGGCAAATGGAGTTCAGGTGCTGCCGGGCCCCAAACTCTGCACCCTTGTTTCTTCCATCCTCTCTCGGGTGCCTGGGCTGACAGAGCCAATATCTAAAGACCTTCTCTGCACTTCACATCTTGGAGCTCAGAGGCCGGCCACTGGTGCTATGTGTCTTCCTCCCCAGGGTGAAGGCCACCACAGCCAGGACCACAGCCAGGAAGACCCCAGCAGAGATAGCAGTGCTGTGATAGCTCCCCTGGGAGCTGGCTGTCTCCAGTTGGTGTCAGCCACCAACACGTCTGGGAAGGATAGGAGACCACAATAACAGAGTGGGGACCAGGACAGAGCCCGGCAGAGGAGGAGAGGAAGACAAGTAAAGGCCGTGGCCCCCTGGGCATGGTAAAGACAATCAGAACTGTTTGGTGGGAAGGGATAAAAAACTTGGAGAAGGAAGTGCTGAATGGGAAACTGAGGCCAGACCCCAAAGGGCAGCTGACTGTCAGACTAGAGAGATTTCACGTTTGTCAGCCAAGGAGAGTCAGGGAAGGTTTCCTTAGCAGAAACTGGGAACTGGGCTTCGGCAGAACAAATCTGGCCTGAGGCTCCAGATGGATGGGAGGGGAGAGAATTGGGCATTTTAGACCAGCTGGGAAATGATTACAAGAGTCCCAGGTAACAGGCCTCCAGGACGTGAGCTACTACAGCAGCTGCAGGGAACAGGAGGAAGAGGAGGGAAGTGAGCCTGTGCCCGCAGGCGCCTATCGCCCTACCCTGATGTCCTTTGCTCCTCACTCCAACCCCATTGCATGCACCATTCATGAGACTTATTCTGAATTGTATCTTTTCCTACAAGACTTTATCTGCCTCCTGGTGCATAACATTCCTTCATTAAACATGCATCGAATGAATGAACAAGTGAGGAAAGAGTCTGGAATCAGCTGGACATAAAGACGGCCTGAATAGGAATAAAGAAGAGAGAGAGCTGTCAAAGATGCCCCATGGACAGCGCCCTGAACAAGAAGAGGGTTTGGGACAACTACTGCTGCCCTACCCATCCCCAATACCACGGCCACCACCATCCATTGACCTGGCCCCAGACTGGGCCAGAAATCCTGGGCATCACTCTGCGAACATTCATTCCCTCATCCATGTCCACAACACGGCAACACAACAGCACAGCAACACAGCAGCACAGCAACACAGCAACAGAGCAACACAAGAGCACAGCAGCAGAGCAGCTCAGGCAACACAGCAGCACAGCAGCTCAGGCAATACAGCAGCACAGCAGCATAGCAGCACAGCAGGAGAGCAGCACAGCAGCACAGCAGCACAGCAGCAGAGCAGCACAGCAGCACAGCAGCAGAGCAGCACAGCAGGAGAGCAGCACAGCAACAGCGCAGCACAGCAACACAGCAGCACACAATACAGCAACACAACAACAGAGCAACACAGCAGCACAGCAGCACAGCAACACAGCAGCAGGTGCACTCCCTGTTCCAGAGGAGAAAAGTGACATGGCTTGTGCTGAGCAGAGCCTGCCAGCGGTCAGGACAAATCGATGCAGCTGGCATCCCCATGGCCCTGTCTAGACCCTGATGTCAACATGTCTGCTGTTATAGTTACTATCATTGTGAGGAATACTGTCATCATTAGTGTTGTTAACATGGGTGACAACAGGAGTAACAAAAACTACCATTTACCAAGCACTCAGTGACTTGCACCAGGAACAGGCTGAGGCAGTTTCACCAAAATTCTTTTATGTAACCCTCTCAACAGTGCTAAGAAGTAAGTATTGACATTTTCATTTCACAGGTGAGAAGCATGGATTCTAGGACGTCAGGTCTATGGGCCATCCAGGTCAGAACTCTCTTGACCTCGCCCTGCAATGGGTCCTCTAAGGACCATGAGCCTTGGGGAAGGCAGGAACCAGGTCTGATTCAACTCTGTATGACCAGGTGCAGCACAGTGTAGAGCTCAATTTGAGTTGGAGTATGACACCAAGAGAAACATCCCAAGTCCCCGAGAGTCAGGGGTCTGTGCCCCGGTGGGCAGTGGGGTCTGACAGCGACCACCTACTGTGGTTCCTCTTCTAGGCGTGGGGGTGTCTGCAGCTGGATGGGACCCAGGACGACGTCCTTTTCCTGGTAGGAGCCCACATCCCTCTTGGACCTCATCACACAGCCTCGGTTGCAGCGGGAAGAGGGGTCATATGCCCTGCACACCACCATTTTACAACGCAGGTACACGGAGGGGAAGCGGTTCAGGAAGTGGAAGGCCCTGAACCGGAAGCGGGCAATGCGAGGAGACGGCTGGGAGTAGGATCCGTAGGTGTCATCCCTCACGCATCTGGAAGAGAACAGTAGCCCTTTAGCTCTCACCAAGGCCCAATTCTTTCTTCATGACTCAGTTATGCCAGGTGAGGAACTCCACAGCCTGTCCTCACTGCCCTTGCCTCCTGCACACCTGACTTTCCTTCTGTCAGAACGTGTGGATCAGACACTCACTGTGGGGCCTGCAGACAAATCCTGGCAGCTCTGGTACCTCACCGCCATCTTTAGGTAGCAAAGCCTGCGGGGGTTTTCCCGGTAGACAAGCAGGCCCCATACTGCATAGTGGGTTGCAGCCTAATTCCACAATGACCACACGCTCCATGTACCCAGGTAAGCCTGGTGAGTCAGGGAAGTAGCTGGAGTTTGGCGCCCAGGAGCGGGACCCAGAGACAGAGCAGAAAAGGAAATGACCTTCTCTTCTCTCTCCTGGTGTCAGGGCCAGGCAAGGTCTCCTTGGGCTGCACTCTGAGTACAGTGCCCTGGCCCTCCCTCTCCCAGGGCCTCTCTCTCCTGACCCTTGTCAGCCTGCCCTGAGCCCTATGCAACTGTACTTTCCACACTGGCCTGCGAACCCTCCAGTAGCCCCTACCCCGATATCAACCCCTTCCTCATTCCCTTGGGCACCTCCTCTCAGCCACTGTCAGAAGGAAAGTAACCTAAGGATATGCTTACAGGAATTTTCCTAAGATATGGAAGAAGCAGCTCACACTAACCCAGTTATTATAGATTGGTGGGATTTTGAAGGGTGCGGAAAACAGAAGAGCCAGGAAAGTTGGCCCACTGGCCTAGGATGGGCATTTCTCATGGGTGGTGGGTGTGGTCTCCAGGGCAGTCTGGCTCAGCCTGGGAACCTGGCCAGGATCTGCTCCCCTCCTTCTGTCTTCTAGAGCCTCCTTCCTTCCTCCATAGGCAACCCAGATTCTCTCAAATACCAAGATGTTTTTGTTTTTTTTTCCCACAGTAGCTCCCTTAGTGGCAAAGGAGGAATCAAAAATAGCTGGAGGCTTGTTCAGAGGTGGGACACTGAGGAAAAAGGTCAGGGTCACTCAGAAGCCCCTGGGCAGTCATTGTATTTGCCATCAAACCCTGCCATTCAGGGCTTCAGGCAGACCAGAATGCCACAGCGAAGCCACAGCCAAGAGTCCACCTCAGAATCACTCAAGATTTTTTAAATGTAACCCAGGCCCCACCAGGCCAAATACAGAGAATGTATGGGTGGGGCCTGGGCAGGGTGTGTTTGGAGCCCCGGTCATTCTAATGTACATCCAGGTGCATGATCTTGTTGATGGCCAGGGATAGCCAGTAAGTCCCTGTGCTCCAGGTATAGCCAGGGTGCATCTACCCCTGCACACACATCCCCATCTTCCCAGCAAATTGCATTGTCATATATAAATGGCAGGATTTGACCAGAAAGGATCCTTTGGCAGGGAAGAACTAAGTTACCCACTCGTTTTCATTAATGTCAATCAATTCACACAAATTTAAATGTCACCTTATGACTCTTTGTACAAAGGGAATCTGGTTAAGCTTTCTCACCTCCTCTCAGCCACCAAGGGGGCTGCTGTGAATTGAACAAACTGCATAGACTGTGAACAAGATGAGCCTCAACACCTGCTTACTGAAGTGACATATGTTCACACTGTGCCTGGAAAGAGGTGCTATGCTTAGCATATCAAGGGGGTGTTGAATTGAATCCACCCACCTCTAATTCCTAGCAGAACCCTTTACCCTATTGGTATAAATTCTCTTGGAAGGCAATGGCTACTGAAGTGTCCAGGTCTATATTGTAAGCCAAGAAGCGTGGTACACACCCATCAACAGAGACTTCAGAGGGGGCTGGAGTTGCACATCATGGTGTTGTCGTGAGTGCAGAAGAGTCAAACCCCACCTCATCCACGTGCAGTCATCCCAGGAAGCTGGGCTGTGGTAGAGCAGCCCAGCCTGGACACCCTCTGGCCCCAGCCTGACATTCCTGGCCTGACCTCTGCACCTCCTGAGCTTAACTAGAACCATGGACTCCCAGAGCTTCTATTCTCAGACTGAAGGAGGGCAGCAGGGCTCCTGCCATCTTCAGTGCACATTCCTGGTGCACCACCTGCCGCACACTGTCTGTGCTCAGTGCCCCGTCCACTCTCTCTCATCTCATCCTCCCAACAGCCTTACGATGTGTGTATCATTATCCCTACCTGACAGGCGAGCAGCTGGGCCATAGAGTTGCTTTCACTGGCCCAGAATCATGCAACTGGCACGTGGCAGAGCTGACATTTCAACTTGGTCTGCTGCAAATCAATGTTTTTCCCACTATACGTAGGTCCTTTTAACCATATGGCTGGAGTTCAGTCACCTGGAGTCTAATCCCAGTTTACAGCTAACCTGCTGAGTGAACACTGCTGAGCTGTTCTATTCTCCAGACACCCACCTCCCCAGATGTTAACTGGAGATGATACATGGCCATCCTACCTGATGAGAAATCAGGGATGTGATACAGAACACAGAGTAAAATCACCTCAAAGGTAAAAGCTACAGGATGTTACTACATGTAGAAAGGGATCTAGTTAAGCTTGAAGTACTGGGAACTGCAGTCCACCAAAATTTGCATTCTTCAAGCCTTTAGGGCTACTCATGTTTGAGTTATCAAGTAAAGATTTAAGGCCATCGCATAAAGACGCTCCTTACCCACTCCGGATTAGATCATAATTCAAAGACGTGAAGTCATTGGAGTATGGTGATGCCACGCAGGTGTCCACAAACAAGGTCAGTGCAGCATCAGAATGGAGGATTTCAGCCTGAACGTACAAGTCCTGGTTCAGCTTCACATAGTAAGGGTGGCTGGTCACAGGATACAAGAAAGAGGAGGAAGTATAAAAGGAAACGTTCACGTCAAAATTGCCATACTGGACTTCCTCGACCTGGATGGTGTCATTAGCAATGTACATGGTGTTGACCCAGGTGTTCTGAAGCATCCTGCAGCTGACGTGAATACGGAAGTTCTTCCTCCTCGTGATGATGCCCCGTGATGATGCCACGTGAGCTGCTGTGAGGAAGTTGGAATAGTCGATGGTGTCATTGTCTACCTAGGAGAGGCAGGCAAGAGAGCAGAGTCAGGCACATGTCACCTGCTAAGGGAATCCCACAGCTGATTTGGGTGTGAATGAGAGGGACATGATTCAGCAAGATTTCCACCCCTCCCAGAAGCACTCAGAGATGGCGATGGCACATGCCTGTCCTTTAGCTATGAGGCAGCAGAGGATGCCAGAGCCCACACTCTGGTTCCAGGTCTGGGGAAGACCCACAGGAAGGGGTTCTACGTTGCCCACCTGCTCTTAGCTACATTTTCTGACTCTAAACTGTCTTACAAATTTTTTTTTGCTTTATATTTCAGTACCAACAGTTGTCACAATAAATCATATGACTTAAACCATATGACCACAATAAACCGTATTGTCAGGCCTCTGAGCCTAAGCCAGCACATAAACATCCAGATGGCCTGAAGTAACTGAAGAATCACAAAAGAAGTGAAAATGGCCAGTTCCTGCCTTAACTGATGACATTACCTTGTGAAATTCCTTCTCCTGGTTCAGAAGCTCCCCCACTGAGCACCTTGTGACCCCTACCCCTGCCCACCAGAGAACAACCCACTTTGACTGTAATTTTCCACTACCTACCAAAATCCTATAAAATGGCCCCACCCCTATCTGCCTTCACTGACGCTTTTTTTGGACTCAGCCCACCTGCACCCAGGTGATTAAAAAGTTTTATTGCTCACACAAAGCCTGTTTGGTGGTCTTTTCACATGGATGCATGTGACATTTGGTGCCGTGACTCAGATTGGGAGACCTCCCTTGGGAGATCAATCCCCTGTCCTCCTGCTCTTTGTTCCATGAGAAAGATCCACCTATGACCTTGGGTCCTCAGACCGACCAGCCCAATGAACATCTCACCAATTTTAAATTGGGTAAGTGGCCACTTTTTACTCTCTTCCCCAACCTCTCTCACTGTCCCTCAGCCTCTTTCTCCTTTCAATCTTGGTGCCTTCCTTCAATCTCTGCCTTCTCTTAATTTCAGTTCCTTTCCTTTCCTGGTAGAGACAGAGAAGACACGTTTTATCCGTGAACCCAAAACTCCGGCGCCAGTCACAGACTCAGGAAGACAGTCTCCCCTTGGTGTTTAATCACTGTGGGGATGCCTGCTTGATTATTCCACGTTTCAGAGGTGTCTGATCATTGCAGGGATGCCTGCCTTGATCCTTCACCCTTAGTGGCAAGCACCGCTTTTCTGGGGGGCAAGCACCCCCAACCCCTTCTCTTGTGTCTCTATCCTTTCTTTTCTCTGGCCTTGCCTCCTTCACTATGGGCAAATTTCCACCCTCCATTCCTCCTTTTCCTCCCTTAGCCTGTGTTCTCAGGAACTTAAAACCTCTTCAACTCACACCTGACCTAAAACCTAAATGCCTTATTTTCTTCTGCAATGCCATTTAACCCCACTACAAACTTGACAGTGGTTCCAAACAGCCTGAAAATGGCACTTTTGATTTTTCCATCCTACATGATCTAGATAATTCTTGTCGTAAAATGGGCAAATGGTCTGAGGTGCCTGACTTCCAGGCATTCTTTTACACATCATCCGTCACTCCCTAGTCTCTGTTCCCAGTGCGACTCATCCCAAATCCTCCTCCTTTCCCTCCCGCCTGTCCCCTCAGTCCCAACCCCAAGGGTCGCTGAGTCTTTTCAATCTTCCTTTTCTACCTACCCATCTGACCTCTCCCCTCCTACCCAGACTGCTACTTCTCAGGTCGCTCCCCACCTGACTGAATCAGGATCCAATTCTTCCTCAGCCTCCACTCCCCCACCCTATAATCCTTCTATCACCTCCCCTCCTCACACCTGGTCCGGTTTACAGTTTCGTTCTGCGACTAGCCCTCCCCCACCCAGCCAACAATTTCCTCTTAAAGAGGAAGCTAAAGGCATAGTCAAGGTTAATGCTCCTTTTTCTTTATCTGACCTCTCCCAAATCAGTTAGCGTTTAGGCTCTTTTTCATCAAATATAAAAACCCAGCCCAGTTCATGGCTTGTTTGGCAGCAACCCTGAGATGCTTTACAGCCCTAGACCCTGAAGGATCAGAAGGCTGTCTTATTCTCAATATGCATTTTATTACCCAATCTGATCCCGACATTAAATAAAGCTCCAAAAATTAGATTCTGGCCCTCAAACCTCACAACAGGACTTAATTAACCTCGCCTTCAAGGTGTACAATAATAGAGGCAACTAAGTAGCAACACATTTCTGAGTTGCAATTCCTTGCCTCCACTGTGAGAGAAACCCCAGTCACATCTCCAGCACACAAGAACTTCAAAATGCCTAAGCCACAGTGGTCAAACATTCCTACAGGACCTCCCCCATCGGGATCTTGCTTCAAGTTCCAGAAATATGGCTACTGGGCCAAGGAATGCCCACAGCCTGGGATTGCTCGCAAGCTGTGTCCCATGTGTGCAGGACCCCACTGGAAATCAGACTCTCCAGCTCACCCGGCCGCCACTCCCAGAGTCCCTGGAACTCTGGCCCAAGGCTGGCTGACTGACTCCTTCCCAGATCTTCTCGGCTTAGTGGCTGAAGACTGATGCTGCCCCATCGCCTCGGAAGCCTCCTGGACCATCATGGATGCGTTAGGTAACTCTTACAGTGGAGGGTAAGTCCATCCCCTTCTTAATCAATATGGAGGCTACCTACTCCACATTACCTTCTTTTCAAGGGCCTGTTTCCCTTGCCGCCATAACTGTTGTGGGTATTGATGGCCAGGCTTCTAAACCTCTTAAAACTCCCCATCTCTGATGTCAACTTGGACAACATTCTCTTATGCACTCCTTTTTAGTTATCCTCACCTGCCCAGCTCCCTTATTAGGTGGAGACATTTTAACTAAATTATCTGCTTCCCTCACTATTCCTAGGTGACAGCCACGCCCGATTGCTGCCCTCTTCCCCAGTTCAAAGCCGTCTTCGCATCCTCCCCTTGTATCTCCCCACCTTAATCCACAGGTATGGGACACCTCTACTCCCTCCTTGGTGACCGATCATGCATCCTTACCATCCCATTAAAACCTAATCACACTCACCCAGCTCAACGCCAACATCCCATCCCACAGCATGCTTTCAAAGGATTAAAGCCCATTATCACTCGCCTATTACAGCATGGCCTTTTAAAGCCTATAAACGCTCCTTAAAATTCCCCCTTTTACCTGTCCAAAAACTGGACAAGTCTTACAGGTTAGTTCAGGATCTGCGCCTTATCAGCCAAATCGTTCTGCCTGTCCACCCTGTGGTGCCCAACCCATACACTCTTTTGTCCTCAATACCTTCCTCCACAACTCACTATTCCATTCTTAATCTTAAAGATGTTTTTTTCACTATTCCCCTGCACCCCTCATCCCAGCCTCTGTTTGCTTTTACCTGGACTGACCCTGACACCCATCAGTCCCAGCAGCTTACCTGAGCTGTACTGCCACAAGGCTTTAGGGACAGCCCTCATTACTTCAGTAAAGCCTTTTCTCATGATTTACTTTCTTTCCATCCATCTGCTTCTCACCTTATTAAATATTTTGACAACCTTCTACTTTATAGCCCCTCCTACAAATCTTCCCAACAGGACACCCTTCTGCTCCTCCAACATCTATTCTCAAAAGAATATTGCGTATCCCCCTCCAAAGCCCAAATTTCTTCCTCATTCATTACCTATCTCGGCATAATTCTTCATAAAAACACATGTGCTCTCCCTGCTAATCGTGTCTGGCTAATCTCCAAAACCCAAACCCCTTCTACAAAACAACAACTCCTTTCCTTCCTGGGCATGATTGGATACTTCCACCTTTAAATACCTAGTTTTACCATCCTGGCTAAACCATTATATAAACTCACAAAAGAAATGCTAGTTGACCCCATAAATCCTAAATCCTTTCCTCACTCCCCTTTCCATCTGTAAAAAACAGCCCTAAAAGCTGCTCCCACATGAGCTCTCCCTAACTCATCCCAATCCTTTTCATTACACACAGCCGAAGTACAGGGCTATGCAGTCAGAATTCTTATACAAGAGCTGGGACTGTGCCCTGTAGCCTTTCTTTCCAAACAACTTGACCTTACTGTTTTAGCCTAGCCCTCATGTCTGCGTGTGGCAGCTGCCACTGCCCTAATACTTCTAGAGACCCTGAAAATTACAAACTATGCTCAACTCACTCTCTACAGTTCTCATGACCTCCAAAATCTATTTTCTTCCTCACACCTGATGCATATAGTTTCTGCTCCCTGGCTCCTTCAACTATATTCACTCTTTTTTGAGTCTCCCACAGTTACCATTGTTCCTGGCCTGTACTTCAATCCAGCCTCCCAGATTATTCCTGATACCACACCTGACCCCCATGACTGTATCTCTCTAATCCACCTGGCATTCACGATTTCCCCATGTTTCCTTCTTTCCTGTTCCTCACCCTGATCACACTTGGTTTATTGATGACAGTTCAACCAGGCCTAATCACTACTCACCAGCAAAGGCAGGCTATGCTATAGTATCTTCCACATTTATCCTTGAGGCTACTGCTCTGCCCCCATCCACTACCTCTCAGCAAGCCGATCTCATTGCCTTAACTCAGGCCCTCACTCTTGCAAAAGGACTATACATCAATATTTATACTGACTCTAAATATGCCTTCCATATCCTGCACCACCATGCTGTTATATGGGCAGAAAGAGGTTTCCTCACTATGCAAGGGTCCTCCATCATTCATGCCTCTTTAATAAAAACTCTTTTCAAGGCTGCTTTACTTTGAAAGGAAGCTGGAGTCATTCACTGCACGGGCCATCAAAAGGAGTCAGATCCCATCACTCAGGGCAATGCTTATGCTGATAAGGTAGCTAAAGGAGCAGCTAGCGTTCCAACTTCTGTCCCTTATGGCCAGTTTTTCTCCTTCTCATCACTCACTCTCACCTACTCCCCCACTGAAACTGCCACCTATCAATCTCTTCCCACACAAGGTAAATAGTTCTTGGACCAAGGAAAATATCTCCTTCCAGCCTCACAGGCCCATTCTATTCTGTCGTCATTTCATAACCTCTTCCATGTAAGTTATAAGCTGCTAGCCTGCCTCTTAGAACCTCTCATTTCCTTTCCATCATAAAAATCCATCCTCAAAAAATCACTTCTCAGTGTTCCATCTGCTATCTTACTACTCCTTAGGAATTTCTCAGGCCCTCTCCCTTCCCTACACATCAAGCTCGGGGATTTACCCCCGCCCAGAACTGGCAAATTAACTTTACTCACATGCCTGGAGTCAGGAAACTAAAATACTTCTTGGTCTAGGTAGACACTTTCACTGGATGGGTAGAGACCTTTCCCACAGGGTCTGAGAAGGCCACCGCGGTCATTTCTTCCCTTCTGTCAGACATAATTCATCAGTTTGGCCTTCCCACCTCTATACAGTCTGATAACGGACCAGCCTTTACTAGTCAAGTCACCCAAGCAGTTTCTCAGGCTCTTGGTATTCAGTGAAACCTTCATACCCCTTACTGTCCTCAATCTTCAGGAAAGGTAAAACGGACTAATAGTCTTTTAAAGACACACCTTGCCAAGTTCAGCCTCCAACTTAAAAAGGACTGGACAGTACTTTTACCTCTTGCCCTTCTCAGAATTAGAGCCTGTCCCCGGGATGCTACAGGGTACAGCCCATTTGGACTCCTGTATGGACGCTCCTTTTTATTAGGCCTCAGTCTCATTCCAGACACTAGCCCAACTTGAACTGCACCCCAAAAACTTGTCATCCCTACTGTCTTCTGTGTAGTCATACTCCTATTCACCATTCTCAACTACTCATAAATACCCTGCCTTTGTTTACACTGCCAGTTTACACTTTTCCTTCAAACCATCATAACTGATATGTCCTGGTTTTATCTCAAACCACTACCCTTAAGTCTCTCTTAAAGTGGACAGATAATCTTTGCTGACAGGAAGTACGCTCCAATACTTTCACCCTGAAGTCCTATTCTTTACTTTTATACTCAAAATCTTATTCTCGTTCCTGTTCGTAAGCCACCCTCTACCTCTCCCCAGCTATCTCCACCACACTATCAATCTCACTCACTCTGTCCTAGCCATTTCTAATCCTTCTTTAACAAACAGTTGCTGGCTTTGCATTTCTCTTTCTTCCAAAATCACTGAAGCCCTGACTTACTCACTACTGAAAAAAGGGGACTCTGTATATTTTTTAATGAAAACTGTTGTTTTTACCTAAATCAATCTGGCCTGGTGTACGACAACATAAAAAAAATCAAGAATAGAGCCCAAAAACTCACCAACCAAGCAAATAATTATGCTGAACCCCCTTGGGCACTCTCTAATTGGATGTCCTGTGTCCTCCCAATTCTTGGTCCTTTAATACCTGTTTTTCTCCCTCTCTTATTCAGATATTGTGTCTTCCATTTCATTTCTCAATTCATACAAAACTGCACCCGGGCAATCACCAATCATTCTGTATGACAAATGCTCCTTCTAACAACCCCACAATACCACCCCGTACCACAAAATCTTCCTTCAGCTTAATCCTTCCCACTCTAGGTTCCCACACTGCCCCTAATCCTGCTCGAAGCAGCCCTGAGAAACATTGTCCATTATCTCTCCATACCACCCCCAAAAAAATTTTCGCTGCCCCAACACTTCAATGCTATTTTATGTTATTTTTCTTATTAATATAAGAAGACAGGAATGTCAGGCCTCTGAGCCTGAGCCTGCACGTATACATCCAGATGGCCTGAAGTAAGTGAAACATCACAAAAAAGTGAAGATGTCCAGTTCCTGCCTTAACTGACAACATTACCTTGTGAAATTCCTTCTCCTGCCTCAGAAGCTCCCCCACTGAGCACCTTGTGACCCTCACCCCTGCCCGCCAGAGAACAACTCCCTTTGACTGTAATTTTCCACTACCTACCCAAATCCCATAAAACGGCCCCACCCCTATCTCCCTTCGCTGACTCTCTTTTCGGATTCAGCTCGCCTGCCCCCAGGTAATTAAAATGCTTTATTGCTCACACAAAGCCTGTTTAGTGGTCTTTTCACACAGATGCGCGTGACAGTATGACCTTTCTTAGTCTTTCAAAGATACTCTCAGGTGCTTTCCATTGAACCCTGTACATTAACATGATCATTTGCATAGACGTCACCTTTGCCTATGGTGCCTACGATGGAGATAAATTCTGAATCCACTCCAAACAATGAACGTGGAGTACAGATTTATTTCTTGGTCAGAAGAAGCAGTTCTAATTTTAGATTAAGATTCATTATCACAGGCCAGCCTGGTAGAGCTGTGGGAAGCTCCAGCCATGGATGGCACAGCCCTACCTCTGTGTCCTAGACACGTAGCTCATGGCCATATGGTCCTGGGCAAGTGGCTTACCTTCTGCAAGCCTCCGTTGCCTCATAATTAAGTGGGAATAAAGTTGTCCTGAGAATTTTAAAAGTTATATAGTACACTTAGTTCAGTGTCTGATATCTGTATGAGCTATTAATAACACTATATCAACTCTCAGGCTCAGGACCAGGGGCACTGGGGGTTGCAAAGATGAACAAAACATTGGCCCTGCCCCTGAGGCACTCAGTGTGATAGGAAATATGGTTATTTAAAGAAATAGAGGAGGCCAGGAGCAGTGATTCATGCCCATAATCCCAGCATTTGGGAGGCCAAGGCAGGAGGATCACTTGAGCTCAGGAGTTTGAGACCAGCCTGGACACATAGCAAGATCCCACCTCTACAAAAAAAATTTTTTTTAATTAGCTGGGTGTGGTGGCGCATGCCTGTAGTCCCAGCTACTCTGAAGGCTGAGGCTGGAAGATTGCTTAAGCCCAGGAGTTCAGATCTGCTGTGAGCTATGATGCACCCATGCCTGGGCATCCAGCCTGGGCAACAGAATGAGAACCTGTCATTAAAAAATTAAAATAAAAATAAATAAATAAGTGGAGGAATAAGAATGTGGAATGTGCTGTGCATAATCAGCCAAGTTAGAAGAAACAGGGCTGAGAGAATTGTCTGGCTGCTCCAAATGGGTGTGAATGGGTGTGAACAGGTGTGAACAGGTGTGAAGGGCTCTCAGCAGGGCTGCTCAGGTGGCAGTCTCCAGGCTACACACTTGGCACAGGAACAATGGTCACCTTCAGTGAACTGACTTCCACTGACCAAACTCACAACAAGCCAGAACCAAACACGATTAAGGCCGAGCCTTCACTGGGGGAGTATGACAAGGACTAATCACAGCATCTGCCACTTGTAGGGTGACTAACTGTCCTCGTTTGCCTGGGAGTGAGGGGTTTCCTGGAATGTGGGACTTTCTATGCTAAAATCTGCAAAGTCCCAGGCAAATCACAGAAATCTGTGGTAGGGGCTGTTGAAAACTTCAGTATAACCATAGCTGCAGTCACCTTCAAGCCTATAGAGAAGGGACACACCATTTTGGCTTCACTTTCACCCAAAATTGGACACAGGGGGCCATCTTAGATCGTGATAGCTCAACAAATGGCAGCTGCAGAGGCCAACTGACTGTGGAGCTAATGAAGCTGAAGCTTTCGGGCCCCTCTTCCCTGCCTGGTGCAATGTGCGGGCCTCGTCCGAGGCCTAGCAATGTGTTTGCACAGCCATACGTTGTCATAAAGTTTATAAAAGTTCATAGATACTGCACTCTTTGACTTAATGAGGCCCCTGCCCCTCTCAACACCTGCCCCTCACCGCCGACCCTAATTCTATAAGCTTCGGGCCCTGCAAAATCTGGAGCTGCTCCAGAAGCTGCTATTGTTATTGCTGATGGAAAAAAACCAAAAGCTTTTTATCTTCCTTTATTCCAATTATGTCCTGATTATGCCAAAATCATAATTTCATAATTTCTGCATCCCCAGAATTCAAGAAGCACAGCACATACCACTATAAGAAAGCTCGTACACTGGGAAATGGAATGGGAAGCCCCAGGCTTACCTGCTTGAAGGTGCCGCAGCCTGAGTAGGGAATTGTGAATATCACCAGGTTCGGTGTTATCTGGGGCCGACACTCGTAGTACCCATTCCAGGTGGAAATGACAAGGTCACTGGCAGAAAAGCCCAAGGATTGGAGGTAGCTCCTGCTCACGCTGGCTTGCATGTGATTTGGCAGACAGAGCAGGTCTGATAGACAAGGACAGATAAGGCACTCAGTCATTGCCCCGGACTCCACAAGTCCTATGGAGTCAGATGCCCTTTCCACTTAAAAAGTGCACAGACCTGGGTGGCTGACAGGGAGGGTGGGCACTTAGGGTGTGGGCACAGACTTCACTGCAATCCCCCAAGGACCCTAGGGTCAAGTCAGCCCCATTCTTATGAAAGCCCAGGGAGAGCACGTGGACTCAGGATTTCTCTGATGGAGAATTGGAGGCAGCATTTTTAAATAAGTGGCATGTTTGGCCAAGTTACCATTTATCTATAAAGGAAAGTAACTGCATGGTCAAATTATGGGAATGTCATGAAACAAGGTCTTTTAGCCATGAAGCAAGTCAATCTTTAATCCTGACTGCATAAGAGACCCTGAATGTCACCTTGCCTGGTCCTTGGCCAATCTATATATCAGTCCATATAGCAACTCAAATCATAGCCATACAGGCTCTGCTGGAAGTGGCTGAGAGACCTTATCTCAGCCACTTCCAGCCACCCAGCTCAGTCTATCTTCAGACAGAAGCCAAATGTGTTAGGTCTCAGGCCATGGACACAGTGTCCCACACTCTGAGAAGGTCACAAGGTTTCAAGCCAAGAGGTCACCTCTGCCTCTGGCACTGACTCATCCATCTCCGCTAAAAGCATCATCTGGGACCCTCTACTTAGTCTCTGCTGACCACAGAAAGGCCAATCATCACCTGTCAGCCAGTTCTAGTCCTGACTTCATTTCTGGGCAGCCAGAGTCCTGAGGCCCACTACTCCTGGCCCCTTTCAGCTGAAAATCAAGCCGCGGTGACCTGAAAGGGTTCCTTCATTTCTTATTTCACAACCACGGGACAGTTGAGCCACAGATGCTCTCAGGATGTCCCCAGTCCCAACAAATAATTCCCACAAGGGGACTTACTGGTGCTGTCATTGGAGGGACTGGAGTAGTACTCAGCCCGGAACCCTCTCCTCGTGATGCTGTGGTCACTGACGAAGCGAATGGACATGAAGTTGGAGGAGGAAGTGAAGGAGCCTCTGGCCCCATCACAAACTCGAGCAATGAGAGGGGAACTGTGGTAGGGGCCATCAAACACTTCAACGTAATCATAGTTGCAGCCACCTTCAAGCCTGCAGAGAGAGGAAACACCATTGGCTTCATTTCCTCCTGGAATTTGACACAGGGGTCAGATCTCAGGGTGGGGTCGCACCTCCGTGCCAGAAACTCTGACAAAGTTCATCAATGAAAGTCATAGGTCTCCTTGGCTGGGCATGGTAGCTCACACTTATAAACCCAGCACTTTGGGAGGCTGAGGTGGGTGGATCATTTGAGGTCATAAGTTAGAGACCAGCCTGGCCAATGTGGTGAAACCCTGTCTCCACTAAAAATACAAAAATTAGCTGGGCGTGGTGGCACAAGCCTGTAGTGTGAGGGAGGCTACTCAGGAGGCTGAGGTAGGAGAATCGCTTGACCCCGGGAGGCAGAGGTTGCAGTGAGCCGAGATCGTGCCACTGCACTACAGTTTGGGCGACAGAGCGAGGCCCTGTCTCAAAAAATAAAAAGAAAAATAAAAATTGAAAAAAAAGAAAGTCATAGGTCTCCTTAAATCAAGAGAGTCTCATCTTCCCTCAACCTCCATGCCTGGGTCTTAGTCCGGCCCTTTGCGGTCACAAATATGAAATCTACAGCCCCTCACGTGTCAGCCCTTTACATCAGGAAAGGAAGGGCTTGCATCCTGATCTAGACCATTTTTCTTCTATCGAAAAGTCCCTGGTGCCCCCACAGAATAAAATCAATATGCATGAGTTCATAGTGAGAGAAATAAATAACTGAATAAATATTGGGCAAGTCAAATAATCTCTCTAAAGCTTTTCCTGTTTATAAAGGCAAAATAATCTGATCCATGCACGCTGAAGAGGGCTATGGTGAAGCTCAAATAAAACAACATACAGAAAAGGGCTTTGTAAAATGTCACAAATGGTGATGGTCATTGCTATCAAGATGCTGGTTAAAGAACCAGTCATGGTCAACCTTTTCCCATAGGACTGCATAAGTTTTAAGTGCAATCTTTGTATTGTAATGACAAAGAGAATAAAATGATGTATCTTTTGCAAAATCCCATATGAATTACTAAAGCAGAGACTCCAAAACCCACTGCAAACAGAAATCAACAGGGAAAACTATTTTGTTCAATAGTGGCTGTTAGAGAAGAAATTAGTGTAGCCCCTTGTTCAGGACACTAGAAAATACTGGTGCCTCTTCGCGGTCAGCTGGGCCACCCACCTCCTTGGATAAATCATATATTAATGTACTTTTGATGTCAGCCATGGTGGCTCACACCTGTAATCCCAGCACTTTGGGAGGCCGAGGTGGGAGGGTCACCTGAGGTCAGGAGTTGAAGACCAGCCTGGCCAACATGGTGAAACCCCATCTCTAATAAAAATACAAAAATTAGCCAGGCATTGTGGTGTGCGACTGTAATCTCAGCTACTTGAGAGGCTGAGGCAGGAGAATCGCTTGAACCCAGGAGGCAGAGGTTAGAGTGAGCCAAGACCGTGCCTCTACACTCCAGCCTGGGTGACAGAGCGAGACTCCGTGTCAAAAAAAGAAAAAAAAGAAAGAAAGAAAAGAAAAGTGCTTTTAGTAATGTCCCCTCTGCTTAAAACGATGATTTCTACTTGTGATTAGATGCAGAGCAGATACCCTACCCTCTGCAGCAGCAATTCCTCCATCTCTCCCTGATCCCTGGGGAACTCACATGAAGAAAGGAGAGGGTGGAGAAAAAGGGTTCCACAAAACTGATACAATTGTTCTTTTTGTTTTGTTTTGTTTTGTTTTCCTGAGACAGGGTCTCGCTTTGTTCCACAAGCTGGAGTTCACTGGCGCTATCATAGTTCACCACAACTTTGAACTTCCAGGGCTCTGGCAATTCTCCCACCTCAGCCTCCTGAGTAGCTGGGACAACAGGTGCAGGCCACCATGCCCAGCTAATTTTTGTATTTTTTTTTTCATAGAGATGGGGGTCTCCCTATGTTGCTCAGGTTGGTCTTGAACTCCTGGGCTCAGGTGATCCTCCTGCCTCAGCCTCCCAAACTGTTGGGATTACAAGCCTGAGGCACCATACCTGGCCAATGTGGTTGCTAATAGGATTATTTGTGCTATTATTGCCCCTAAGTCTATCATTACTACTTAACAGCCATCTTTTCCATTGGACAACATTTTGTAAATATTTTCACATCTCTCTCCCTCTCTCCTCTCTCTTTCTTGTGACCTTCCCAGTAACCAATGAGGTGAGGAGAGCAGGTATTTTATTCCCCTCTTTTGACTGAGGCTCAGGAAAGTTAAGTGACTTCCTGTGGTCACACAGCAAATTGGTGGCAGACCTAGGACTTGAAACCAGAGCTTTTGTCCAGTCCAAGGCTCTTGTGCCCCCTCCCCAACTCTCCCCAGGATGCCTCTGGGCTAGGTCAAAAATGTCTCCCAGCGAACATCTCTCCTGATGTTCTAAGTAGCATTTATTCCCTCTTGAAAGGTCTGTGAGGCCCCAAGGCATTCTTCTTGGCGCACACTTACTGGACATCTCTGAAGACCACCGTCACATGGTGGTTGTTTTGCACCTCAATGTCCCACACACACTTGGCATTGTTCGGATAGTTCCTGGGATAGAATGGGCTGGAAAAGTCCCCTGATGGTTGGGACAGGAAGCCTCCACAGGAATAATTTGCTGTCAGGACAAAAAACGGGAATGTCGGAGACCCCCAGAGCACACTGCACAGTCACCTGGGGGCTATTTTAAACTTAAATTACTTTAAAAATTTAAAAAATAATTCCCAAGACAGAAACCAAATAAAAGCAAGAGGTGGCCTAGATCTGGACCATCCACTGAGGGCTGGCGGGGCACTCTTGCAGGGAGATCACCTTTGGGGAATCGTCTCCTCCCCAGCCCCATTGTCACTGAGGAAATGGGAAGGGGGATTTCCAGGTCACTCTGCCACAGACTCATCAGGGAGCTCAGAACTTACTGTTTGGACGGGTGACGTTGAGAAAAGGAGCTGTTGACAAAAAGAAAAGATCAGGATCAGTTTTCCGGCATCCCTGGCACAGCTGTCCACTGCTTGTGAGCTGTGCAGATGCTGTGCCAAGCCTGAGTCCACAGGAAGGAGCTGGACACAGGCCTTGCCCTTGGGGAGCTCACTTGCCCTTGGGGAGGTCTGGAGGAGAGCGAATCCCAGCAGAGTGGGAAGAGGCTGAGATTGACCAAAGCCTGGGGAAGGAGAGGAGCCTGGAAGTCTGGCCCCTGCCCCAGATGGAATGGGGAAAAAAGGGCAGTAATTAGAGGGCAGGCAAAGAGGTAGAAATGGGGTGTTCCAGGCAGAGGAACAGCAGGTACAACTGTACCCAGGTGGAAGAGATTTGGGAACCTCCAAACCTCCGGAGCAGGCAGTAGAGGGGGAGAGGGCACCAAGCATAGGGAGCCCTGGCAGTCATGCTGTGCTGAGGAGGGGGTCACCACCAGAAGACCCTGAGGAATCACTTGAAGGGGCTGCACAGTGGAGAATGGATGAGAGGGGCAGGCCTGAAGCTGCTGCTGTGGGAGGCCAGAAGGAGATGACAAGGCAAGCAGGGATGGGAGGTGATATTGGAAAGGAAAGACCTGAGGTGCCAGGGCCATGCTGGGAACACTCAGAGCAGCTCAGGAGCAGGCAGGGAGGAGCTTAGCGATGCAGTGGGCCCCATTTGGCCAGCACTGGTCAGGGTCTAGTGTCTGCGAGGACAGGCAAATCTGACAGGTGGCAGGCCGCACCTCGGGACTGACTAGAGATCCTACTCTTAGGTGGGCCAAGCCACTGAAGCACAGAGAGGGGCACACTGTCCTGGTGGCTGGCAGGGGAGAGGACAGGGGCTATAGAGGAGGGCACCACAGATAAACTCCTTGGAGAGTGAGCAACATGCCCTGCACAATCTAGGCAGCAGCAATAGAGAGACCTGGAGACCAGGGAAGTGGAATGGAAATCAGGGGGACTTACCAGGTGTCGATAGTGGGTTTCCTGAAAAGGAATAGAAGAAAAGCATAGGTCACAGACATGTGGCTTTGAGGAGGGGCCAGAATGAGGCAGAGATACACGTACATGGCTCATAACCTGACCCCCTCACCAAGGACCCCCAGGTCTACCGAGCAATTGCTGTTGAGAAGCCTTCGTAGCTTCCCCGGATGCTCCCTAAGTCCCGTCATACTTGTGGTCATCAGGATTACAGCTGAGGTCATAACACCCATCACTCTTCCTTGACCATGATTGTTCTAAAATCATCCCAATTGTCACTGGCAGCAAGTACTATCATAGCCACCCCGACTCAACAGTCAAGGAAACTGAAGCATAAAGAAGTTGAATCATTGCTGGAGGTCCTTTAGTCAGATGAGTGTTCAGCATAATGGCCCTGGGTCCAGAAACTGGCCAAAGATAAAGCAGCCCCCTGCATGCTCTTCTGGAGTGCACAGGCCACGAGCACACATGACCAGCTTCTGCCTGGGCCACAGACACCATCAGCCACTGGCCTTAAGCTCTCCCTTTATAGCAGGTTACAGGTGAAATGGGCCTTCCATGACATTGGGCCATACCTGAGCAGATGACACCAGCATCTTCGTTGTGACGACAGTTGTGGGAGAACCAGCCTCGGTTCCGGCACTGCCAGAGAGTGGATTCCGTCCCTGAGCACTCTACATCGTCCAGGGTGATGGGGCCAGAGCCAGCGCCAAAATAGGCGTTTCCAAGGGCTGAAACTGCACGTCCACACCCCAGCTGTCTGCAGACCACCTCAGCTTCGTGAATGGTCCAGGAGTCATCACAAACTGTCCCCCAGGTGCCACCATGGTAAATTTCAACACGCCCGGCACATAGACCGTAGGATGAGTTTAAATTGACCAACCTCAAGGTGGCATCTGAAAGACACATTAACTGGGAAATCATGGCCATTTCCCACAGCAAATGTCCCACAACAAACCTCAAAGGCCAAGCATCCCACAGGCCTTTCCCCACCTCCACAGTCGTCAAATAGAAATGTGGAAAAGCTGGAATGGAGGTACTGGACCACTCCACGCAGAGCTGAAAGGAGCTCCAGACATCACCAAGCTCAGATCCCCTCACCTCCAGACAGAGAAGGGTGGCTCTGCAAGGAGAGTCACTAGGTCCCCCGGAAAATTGGTGGCAGACCCAAGGCCAGGTGTGACCCCCCAGTCTGCACCCTTTGCTGCCTTCCCAAGGGCCTGCCCCTCCTTGAGGCTCACACAGCCAGTGCTAAGAGAAGGAGAATGGGCAATGCATCGCTGAGGCCCTTTGTTGATTTCCTTGGGGAACCATGATGCCCCCAAAGAGGCAGCTGGGTAAATCCACCAAGCCTCGTAGGCATGGCCTAGTGTGCACTTACCGCTTGGGAAAGAGTTATACCAAGCCAAAAAGCCGGTGTTTTGGAAACTGATGTCACTTCGAAAGTGAATGGTCATTCGGTTGTAAGAAGATGTAAATATTTGCCTGGTATCATTACAGATTTTCCCCAGCAGGTGACTGCTATTTAATGATCCATCAAAGATTTCAACATAATCAAAACTGCAGTTATAGTGTGCCTCCAGCCTGTATGGAGAAAATGTATTCAAGTCAACATCGAAATTCCTATTGGCCCTCTATTTTTTAAATAGTTTGGACTTTACGAGTGATGCCATTGAATACAGGTTTTTCTTCTAGCTCTTCCTCAATTAAGCCAAAGGACATCAGTATTCCCTGATGCTTTATGATAAGAACCAAAGCCACCAAAAGCTTGTCCACAGCACACGAGAGTGAAAAGCATCCCAGCCCAGGACACAGTCTAAACCACTGGGTGTGCTGCAGAGGGACTCACCCCTCACCAGATGACCAGGCATTACTTACTGCAGATTACTGAAGCCCAGGTTTATGCGATAACCAGAATTCACTTCTATTTCCCAAACACACTTAGCATTGTTGGGGTAGTATGCAGGGTAGGATGGGCTGGAGAATGTCCCACTGGCACTGAATAAGAAGCCACCACAATTTGAAGAGGGTCCTAGAGAGGAGAGAGGGGACATCTCCATTGTACCAGGTCTTCAGGTATTTTGTGACAAGCAATCATCCGTGTAAGTATCATCCAGTTTCATCTTCTGCACTTTATAACATGACTTAACTTTCCCTGTAAACAAGTCCCCTCTCTGGGGCCTGGTTCGAGGTGGCCCAACATTAGGAGCTTTGATTCGAGTCTGCTTTCCCTGTTGGGCCTGGACAGCAATCCTCTGGGAGGAGGTGACCTAAGCTTCAGAGGGAGCATGTGTCACCTCTAGCAAAAATGCCAAGAAAGCAACAAAGTGACTGCTATCATTGTTCAATCCGCTACAGACAGGGACGTGGGATAGTCCCGGCTGAGCACAGCACTGACCCATGGAGAGCACTCCATAATACAGGGTGTTCCCTAGCGTCTTCCATGAGCACAGGACTCTATCAATTCACAAGTAGCACAACGTTGGGTTAGGAGTAGGGTTTCTGCAACAAGAAGCCTGGGTTTGCATCTTGGCTCTGCCTCTATCAGCTCCATGATCCGGAGCCAGTTACTTAACCTCTCTGCCTCAGTTTCCTCATCAGAAAAATGAGAGTGGTAATGGCGTCTGCCTCATCAGACTCTTATGGGGATTAAATAAGATATGTATATATGAACATTTACACATAAACATGAGATATGTTTCTATGTCTATATAAACTCTTAGAGAGTGCCAGGCACATAAGCACCCAGCAATATTAGCTATTGCTATTTATCAGAAAGGGATAAATACTAAACAGTCAAACATTTTGTGGGTGGTTTATAGTAATAAAAATTTTTTTAAAATGTGCACACTCAGTGATATAAATTAAAACGTGGTTTTTTTCTTTTTCATAACTCTTCGTTTAGTTTTTCTAAGGAGACAAGTCCATGGTTTTTAGCATACTCAGAGCTCTGAAATCACCACAGTTTTAGATTATTTTCGTCACCCTAAAAAGAAACCTTGTTTAGGAGTGATTAGCAATCACTCCCCATTTCTTCTCAACACCCTCCATTCCTGGCAACCACTGATCTACTTTTCTGTCTCTATAGATTTGACTATTCTGGACATTTCATATAAAACAAATTGTACAATATGGTAGTCTTTTTTGACTTACTTCTCAACATGTTTTCAAAGTTCATCATGTTGTAGCATAAATCAGTATTAAATTCTTTTTTTTTTTTTTTTTTTTTTTGAGGTGGAGTTTCGCTCTTGTAGCCCAGGCTAGAGTGCAATGGCACGATCTCAGCTCACTGCAACCTCCGCTTCCTAGATTCAAGCGATTCTCCTGCCCCAGCCTCCCAAGTAGCTGGGACAACAGGGGTGTGTCATCATCAAGAGACAGGGTTTCACCATGTTGGCTAGGCTGGTCTCGAAGTCCTGACCTCAGCCAATCCACCCATCTCAGCCTCCCAAAGTGCTGGGATTACAGGCGTGGGCCACCGCGTCCGGCCACTATTAAATTCATTTTTATTGCCAAATAATACTCCACTGCATGGACGTATCATACTTGTTTCTCGATTCACCATGAGGAACATATGCATTGCGTTCACATTTGGCTACTACGAATGAAGCTGTCCTGAACATTCACATACAAGTTTCTGTGTGGACATATGTTTTCATGTCTCCTGGGTATATGCCTAGGAGTTCAAGTGGTGGGTTATATGGTGACTGCAGGTCTAACCTTTTGGGGAGCCACCAAACTGCTTCTCAAAGTGGCTGTACCATTTCACATTCCCTGAAGCCATGCATAAGATTTCCAATTTCTCCATATCCTCATCAACACTTGCTATGATCTGGCTTTTTGACTACGACCCACCTACTGGGTGTTTCATTTGCATTTCCTTGACGGCTAATGACATTGAGCATCTTTCCAATGCCTTCTCTGCCATCTGTGAATCTTCTGTAGAGAAATACCTTTTAGGTCTTTTGCTCATTGTTCAGTTGGGTTATTTGACTTTTTATCATTGACTACAAGAGTCACTTATATATCATAGGTACAAGTCCCTTATGAGATAGAAATGTGTTCTCCCATTTGGTGGGAATACAGTGTTTCTTGAAGATCGTGTGGCCTGCCCACCTATTCTATTTCTACACTGGGAAATAATTAAGAATAAAGCCAAACTTTCAGAGACAAGGATATGAATTACATATTTCTAAACATTAAATAGAAATAGTTATAAAATATGCTATTGTATATAGTCACTTAACATTATAAAATATAATTGGAAACAATGTTTTTGTCCCACAATTAGTAACTGTTTAACTAAATGATGGTATATCTATACAGTGGAAAATTGTGTAGTCATTAAACCTTCTTCTATACAAATAATTTCAATGCTATAAAAATGCTAATTTTAAGGTCATGAAAAAAGTATTATATACACTTAAATGAAAATGATGGGTTATACAATGGGATATAAAGCATGCCATACTGTGTATGTGTGTGTGTATAGTGTATGGAATGTATGCCAAAATGCCAACAGTAATTATGTATGTATTCATTAATTTATCCATTCATTCATTTATTCTTTCAATAAATAGTTCTTGAAAGGCAGACACAATGCTGCATAATAAGGATACATTATGGAAAAGGCACATATGGCCCCTGCCTTCAGGAAATGCAGTTTGGCAGAAAAGATAAACATGATCTTTTGCAAATATATTTACAATTAGCTAATTCTCAAGATTAAAATCTTTCCACAGCCTCCCTACCTTTAGGATAAAGATGGAAGTCTTAACCCACCCACAAGGCCCTGAATGATCTGGCCTCACCCAACAGATTTCCTGCAGTCCCTCCTTGCCCCCACCCCACTCTCCTTCAAAGAGCCAAGCTCCTTCCCAGCCTAGGGCCTTCAAAGCATTCCTTCTAGTTAGAAGACACTTCAGTAAATGAACCTGCTCCTCTGTTAACTCCCAGCTTAAATGTCACTTCCATAAGGAACTTCCCCTAACCCCCCAGTCAAGGAAGATCTCTACTAATACTTCCTCTTTGCACACTGAACTTTTCCTTGGAAACACTTGTCACAACTGTAATTTTCTAGTTGGTTGTGTATTCAATAATACTGTGAGCTCTGAGGAAGAAGATCACTTTGTCTGTTACCATCATTACATAATTTTACAACCATTCTTGATGGTAGTTGGACCATACACACAGCAAGATCTTAAAATACCTAACACAGTAAAAGTTAGTATGTATGGAGTACATTCTATGTACCAGGCACTATGTTGATGTTGACTTTAGTCCAGTACACCCATTTATATCCTAAAGGAAAAATTAGTGAGGTATGCAAAAAAATTGTCTATAAAAATATTCTTCATCACAAAATCATTTACAGTAATGAAGAAATACAAACAAATATCTAGTATCTGAGGATTTGTCAAATAATTCATGGCGTATCTCTATAGTAGAATACAATACAGGCATTAAAATGATTGTGAGAAAAGATTTAATAACACAGAAAAGTAGTTCTACTATTTTTTAAAAGCAATGAAAATCTATTGAAACATATCCATATAGTGAAATAAAAATGACATGGAAAAGCATAATTTGTAGTAAAATTATCCATTTACTATTTGTCTCCCTTCTTCTTCCCAAAGCTTTGGAGATACCCCCCAAAATAAAAGCCTTTAAGTCGATTATTTTAAGAATACTTATCTCATTGATTCAAATGAAGAGGTGAAGGGTGTAGTGGGACAGGCCAGGGCTATGTGCAGATTGAGGAAGGCTGGGGTGGGGGCAGAGCATTCACTCATGGACAGCCCAGCTTGAGGATAAGAAATGCATGACCTATGGTTCAGGTGGAAAATGTGATACTTACTTGTAGTGATTGTAGTTGTTGGATGCCACCAATCTAGAAAAAAAAAAATGAAGCTGTTTAGGAATTTACTAGATAATTTTTCCATTCCATAGTCATTTGTATGACAGACAAAGTTAAATCCTTTTCCTTAGTATAGGACTTCTCAGAGCCTTGACCATTCCAGTTTACACTGTTCATGGCCAGTAAGGTCTAGAGTATGTAGCACCTCCCAACATATTTGGCCCAGGATATTTTCACTGTGGCATAAAAACATGTTGGGGATGGCTCCCTCAAAGTGAAAGAATTCTTCATTTGACAAATACATGCAGAAGTCTCGCTTGGCTATGTTTCTAAAATGAAGGTCCCAATTTTCCATGGGTTAATTTGGACAGTTATTTTCATCTGAAATAATGGGAGGACCAAAGCCTCCTTCCGCAGCAGCATCTCTGCCAGCACTTAGCACGATCAGCAGGCAATAGCAGGAGGCCACAGCGGCCCTCTGCAGTGAGCCAGACATGAGAGTGATGGCAGTGGGAACTCAGCTCGTCACCCTAACAAAGGTCTGAGCCCTCAGAGAGAAATTACCCCTCAGGGGGAACTTACCCTACTCCTCCTACTTCTGGAAACAAGAGAGAGTGGAATTTCCAAGAGAATATTGCTAGGCTGGGGTGGAGCAGACTCACCTGACACAGTAGAATTTATTTGGGTGGCTGCAAGGAAAAGAAGAAAACATGAGTCAGTCCCAGTGCCCAGGATGATGAGCGAGATAAATGTTGAGTGTCTGTCCCCACCTTGTCACTTAGAAATGCTCCCCAAGAGTCATCCAGGAGAGTGGAACAGTAGACATAAACATTAAGGGTTAGTCTCAAAAAAAGGTGTTTGAAGAATTCACTCTTACAGCTGAAAGTGGACTGAACCCTTGTTTGCTATAGGAACCTATGTAAGGAAGAAGCTAGTGCCTACCCATAAAAGTCAAAGACATTTGCTGATGTTCTTGCCCTGTTGAGGTATCAGAGAAACTGGCCATCTAGAAGAGAAGCTCAGGCTGGGAGGAGGCTAGTGCAAAGAGAAGCCTTGTCATGGAGAAAACCATGCACTAAAATAGAGGCCCAAGTCTTGGAGGCCCATCTGAACAGATGACAGTGGCTTCACTATGCTGACAGTTGTGGGAGAGCCAGTCATTGTGGGGGCAGCTCCACAGGTAGGACTCGTTCCCTGAGCAGCGCACGTCATCCAGGACAATGGGTCCTGAGCCCTGACCAAACTGGGCATTTCCAGGGGCTGACATGGCCCAGCCACAGCCCAGCTGCCTGCAGACCACATTGGCATCATTGGTGTCCCAGCTGTCATCATACATGGTGCCCCAGGAGCCTTGGTATAGGACCTCCACTCCTGACACCTGTCACTTCCATTCACCAGCCTCAGGGCCACACCAGAATTGGATTCTAGAAGAGACAGGAAAATTCACTCTCTCCTGTATCTCCTAAAGGGAGAGATCTGAGGTCAGAGTGAAGTTCTGAATTCTTCCAGAAGGCCAAGGTTTCTGGGTCTCCAGTCAATGTTCTCCAGCAGCATAGACATTGACGGAAGCCTGTTCTTCAACATGTTATCCTTAAGGGCTGTCTTCTAGAACCTTTGGGCACGGACTGAGCTGTGCATGTTCTCCAATGGAGTTATCTCAGTGCCCAGAAATTCAAGTGCTGAGCCAGGCCTTCAGATTCAGAGGTTAAAGTGCAGGAGCCATCAGCCTGGATCTGCAGGGACCACTGGGCTCAAGCGCCCCTGCAGCAGGATGCAACCGAGACCAGCTCCCACTTGCCTGGCAAGGTGCAGCCCTAGGACCTGGTTCTTGGGAGATTCCACCTCTCCACCTCTGGCTGACTCACTCTGCTCACAGGGACCACCCCATCAGGCCTGAGGCTTGTTCCTGAGTCACTTTCAAACCCACAGCTTGCCTTCAATCTGAAACAAAACCTGGACCCACTGAATACCATGCACTACAGGGACAGTGGGCAGAAGTGACTATGATAACACTTAGTTGTGCATACCTAGAGGTGCCTATGCCTGAGAGTGGAGGAAAAATGGCAGAGTTAGGCCTCCATGAAGGAATGTCACATGCTAGACACAACACTGGGCCAGGCATCCTGATCCCTCTGTGTAACTGAACCCTGTCCGGTGAGCTCAGGAGCTGGGCTAAGATACTGATATTAGTCTAGTTCTTCTGGTCTTCAGCTTAGTATCTATAAAACAAAGCCACTCTTCTCCCAAGAATATATACAAAGGGCCCACCAACACATGAAAAGATGCTCAGCATCATTAGTCATCAGGGAAATGCAAATCAAAACACCATGAAATACCACCTTACACCCACTAGGATGGCCATGATGAAAAAGACATCATAACAAGTGTTGGTGAGGATATAGAGGAATCAGAATTCTCAGGCATTGCTGGGGGGAAAGTAAATTGGTGCAGCAGCTATGGCAACTGTTCGGTGTTTCCACAATAAATTAAACATAATTACCCTATTACCCAGCAATCCCACTCCTAGGTATATATCTCCCAAAATTGGAAACACAAGTGCAAACAAAAAATCATACACTAATGTTCATAGCAGCCTTATTCACAACAGCCAAAAGATGGAAGCAATCCAAACGTCCATAAGCTGATAAATGGATAGACAAAAGATGGTATGGCCATACAATGGAATATTAGTTGGCAATTAAAAGTAATGAAGTTCTGACACATGCTAAAACATGAATGAACCTTGGAAACATTATGTTAAGTGAATGAAGCCAGACAGAAAAGGCTATGATTCCATTCACAGAAAATGATCAGGGTTCTTTTTTTTTTTTTTTTTGAGACGGAGTCTTGCTCTGTCGCCCAGGCTGGAGTGCAGTGGCCGGATCTCAGCTCACTGCAAGCTCCGCCTCCCGGGTTCACGCCATTCTCCTGCCTCAGCCTCCCGAGTAGCTGGGACTACAGGCGTCCGCCACCTCACCCGGCTAGTTTTTTGTATTTTTTTTAGTAGAGACGGGGTTTCACCGCATTAGCCAGGATGGTCTCGATCTCCTGACCTCGTGATCCGCCCGTCTCGGCCTCCCAAAGTGCTGGGATTACAGGCTTGAGCCACCGCGCCCGGCCGATCAGGGTTCTTAGTAAAGTCTGTATACAGAGACAGAAAGCAGATTAGTGGTTGCCAGGAGCTGAGGGAAAGAGGAATGGATTATGAATGGTTAAGGGGTAAGAGCTTTCAGTTGGGGATAATGAAAAAGTCCTGGAACTAGATAGAGATGATGGTAACGAACATGGACAACAGCCAGGGAGAGGGAAGTTTTCATCTCGGGATAGAGGGGTAACATCAGCCAACAAAGAGCAGAGAGTATCAAAGGAAAGGAAGGGTCCAACTAAGGGACTGCTGACTCTGTCTCAAACATCCTGCCTGTTTTTTATTTTAATAGAAACAGTCATTCCTATTTTAAAAAGTAGCATCCTACAAGGTTCAAGTACAGCCTAGTGCCCCCATCCTTCCCATCGCCCCAAGGGAACACAAAGATGGGTATAGAACTCTGGCTGAGCCATCAGAGCTAACAGAGATGGTTTGGAAGAAAGCACCTGTTGACAAGCAGGTCAATCAGAGTCCTCCCAGGCCTTGTCAGCCAGAGGTACTGGGACAGACTGACTCCTTCTCCTGGTGGGATATAGACTTGGGGCTGCCCTCTGCTGTCTTTCAGCCATATGCAAAAAGCAAGTTGATAGTGAAGCCCACACAGATAAAAGAGTAGATGTAAGCAAAGCATAGGGAAAAAAGACTTGGAACTTCTGGAACCAGCTGTACCTGAAGCTCCAGATCCACCACTAAACATTCTGGATACCTGAGCCAATGAATTCCTTTCTAGCTAAAGAGAGTTTGAGTTCAGTTCCTGCCATGTGCAAACAAAAGCATCCCTAATAATAAATCCTCTTTAAAGATCAATTGACAACTGGTAAATAAGGGAACCTTCCACATTGAATGAGGTAAGGAGTGGCCAGAGGCTTCAAGCAAGACCCAGGAGTTTCACCCAGACCTGCTGAATGCCAGTGCTTTGGCTGGACTGGAAGATGCTCCTTAGAAAAGGTCCAAGCAGATTCTGCCCACCATTTCCAGCTCCAAGGCAATTAACTCTGTGTCTGGATGTGATGTCCAAGTTGAACCAAAACCAACCCTTTCCCTTGAAGGTTTTAGTAATTCACCAAGTCAGCAAGTCTCAGGATACCACTCCAGCAAAAATCTCCTGTGTGATCTTCCATCCCAAACCACAGGTAATAACAAGGGTTTGCCTGGCGATCTCATGGGGGCTGCCCTCCCAACACCAGGCTTGCTAGACAGACAATGCACTTCAGTTCTTTGGAAGGAGTTGAAACTGACCAAGAACCAGGTCACACATGCACAGCTACACATTTACACTGCTAGCCCATATGCCTCCAATCCAAATGCTCCTTACTGGGGCCTTAAGTGAGAATTCCCTACCCCAAAATGTGTACTTTCCTTACCATGAGCCTCTCCCAAGGAGAGGATCCCTCCTCCGCCCCGCTGTCTGTGCAGTGGCTACCATACCCTCACCCACTGTTACTCAGCAGGGGAGAAATGGAACCCTGGGGAGCCAGCAGTTTTCTCTTCTGCCTCTTCCTTTCACTGCCTTAGGAAGCGGATAAAGTCTGGATTGTTGTGTGAGTTTGGCCCTCTCTCCTAAGTGACAATAGGAACACCAGGCAGTCAATTCATATGGATTCTTAGCAAAGAGCTAACAAGTCTTCAGAAACATAGGAAACACAGAAGAAGCTTTGAGTGAGGACATCAGAATGTAATTACGACTTTCCTCTGGCAAACTCCACCCCAAGAGAGGGAGCCCACTCTTGGGTCTGGAAAGTCTTGGAGACCCACCTGAGCAGATGACACCAGCGTCTTCATGATGGCCACAGTTGTGGGAGAGCCAGCCTCTGTGGGGACAGTTCCACAGGTAGGACTCCTGTCCTGAGCAGCGCACGTCATCCAGAACTATGGGTCCTGAGCCCTGGCCAAACCGGGCATTTCCTGGGGCTGATGTGGCCCAGCCACAGCCCAGCTGCCTGCAGACCACATTGGCATCATTGGTGTCCCAGTAGTCGTCACACACGGTGCCCCAGGAGCCTCGGTATAGGACCTCCACTCGACCCTGACACCTGTTACCTCCATTCACTAGCCTCAGGGCCAAACTGGATTCAGATCCTACAGGGGAACACAAGAACCCTTCATCCATACTGATTATGAGGTCAAGGATTTAAGGAATGTTCTACACTCAGGGCAGTTCCTCATGGCCAAAGTCACGTGGGCAGGTAATCACCTTCGAATATGAATACAAACAGAGGTTCAGCTTCATCATAGTGGAGGAAGCAGTGAGGTCCTACTCTGCCCAACTCTATGAAAGCTCAAATAATTGGGAAAGCACCTGTGACTCCACTGGAGGTGACAGGAATGGATGCCTCACTCCACATTCTGAGCTCCATTCTCACACAGGATGAAGCTACACAGCTCCAGATGGGAGGACGAGACCTGCTTCATGTTCAGGAGTTTGGTGGCACCCACAGGGTCCTCTCTGGCTTCTACCAAAATGCCAGGAATGGCAGGACTTTGGCCAGACAGCGGCGGGGACAGGCACTTTCCCCACTCTTCTCACATCTGCAGCCTGGGGCCTGAGGTCCAGGAACAAGGTCCCAGTAGGATTAGGGAACCCTCCAGGGCTTCTCCTGACAACCTGGATGAGGATCTTTCCTGACTACATAAAACAGAATCCCGGGGGAGACAGGTCACTAGCACCCTCCAGCCTCCAACATCAGACCCAGGACTAGGTTCCAGGGAGTCCACCATTCTCCCCAGGCAACTTGCAGAAACATGAAAAACAGAGTCACCCACTTGAGCCTCATTCTATCATTTTCAAAAGAAACATTTGTCCAGAGGTAGACAGTGAGCCTCTGGGAGGAGTGAGAGGATGATTTACCTATTGGCGGTGTCAGTAAGTTGGTGGTGAGCCAAGTATCTGTAAATTGCCACAAAGAGAAAGGACAAAATTAGACTTGAAGGTGAAAAGCTACAAAAAAAAAAAAAAGAAAAAAAGTCTCTGGACCAGGCAAGCATCATGAAAACTATTCAATTTCTGGTTCCTGCCACTTGCTGCAAGTGCTGCCCAAGTCTTCAGCTCAGTGATCTCAGCCAGGAGCAAAAGCCTTGCTGGAGACCAGTCTCCTCCCTCCTACCTCTGAAGTGTGAGATGTCCTTCTCTCGGCTACAAAGGGTTAGCCTGCCCCATCCAGTGATACGTGGACTGATGGAGACATCTGACACCATTGCTGAGACTCTGACAGTTAGAGCTAAAATGTTAGGAAACCAAGGAGCCATCCAAACGGGTTTCAAGTTTCTTGGTAAGTGGAGGCATCAGAAATATTTATTATCCCTCTCCCTGCCCAAGCATGGCCTCTGCCTTTTCTGGATGCAGATGTGGCCCTGCAAAATCTGGGCTGTTTGAAGGAGTGAGG